AAAATTATATGCATATACATATAAATTTATCCTGATATTTATTTCTGTTGTATTTTGCCGTTTCTGCCATACAGATAAGTAAATTATGATTGCAGTCTGGGCTACAAGTACACACTCTTTATCTACCTTTGTCACGCAAATGCTGTTTCGGGTTCTTTTGAGTTCAGCAGATATGATACACTGTGTTTATAAGTGCACTTATGTGCCGATTGTAATAGCTATACTGAGTCGTTCATGCTACGACGCCCTTTGATGCTTAGCTTGCCAATCAACATGCATCTGCAACATATCTGCAGATACGGACGGCGAACATTGCTCCAGTGCACACAGTATATCTTCCTTAGTCACGCGCAAGTCTGGCAGTTTTGAACCATAGAACAAGTTCGCCCCACTCTTCTGGCTATGATCATTGTGCGCGGAGGTATAGTCCGCTACCGGCAATCTCTTGCCCACCTTACTTCCTGAAGTACCTGCAACGGAATCTTGTTCGCGAATGGCTACATCATCTCCAAGGCTCATACCACTCCTAGTATTTGCCAGTTCAGACTTGGCCCCAATCATATCACCCTTGCTTTCATCCATGACCACTTCGCCTTCTCTATTACCCTCTAAATTATTTTCTCTGTTACCTCGCGCTGCGTCCTGTGTTGTCTCAGATGGCGTGTGTTCATTGTACTCCATATCATCCTCAGTTTCACCAAAGTCCGGGGTCCACGTAGACCAGGCACGCTTCAACCCAACAAGTGCTGCTTGTTTGCACACGTTTGCCAAATCCGCGCCTGTGAAACCCTCTGTTCGGGCGACTAAATCATCTAGATCATCCACACTAATTGTGCATTTGTCACCCATCCTGCAGTGGCGCAAGTGTAAGTTGATCAAAGTCAGTATGACAGCAAGTACAGCGGTGACAACTCGAACTCAACACTGTCAAACATGCTTGTACGTGCACAATACTGTTCCTGGGCCTCTCGTCTAAACTACCACGCGGTTGACTTTACTTTCCAATCGAGATCGCACGAGTGGATTGCTCACCGGACAAATATACCGAGTCAATAAACTTAGAGACGTCATATGGGATCCTCTCTTATTAGAAAATACATGGCTACCCAGATGGCCCCTGGCACAGGTCGTAATTGTGTCTAAAGCTATATCTTAAATAGCAACCCATATTCATTAATCACTGACATACCTGTCTAGATTCCCTTTGAAGATCTGTCGCCGCGCGAGGGCGTCTGGCGGAGGCACGTAAACAATCTCATCCATACGACCAGGTCGAAGCAAGCTAATTGAGAGCAAATTGTCCATATGCATACATTAGTATATAGCTGAATCTCCCGATATTGTGCAAGGAATTGACGTGCTGTGCATGATGCATACCGTGTGGATATGCTGTGCAAGTGTGATACTTATAAGGGTGCTAGTAGCCAAGTAATCGGCGGTTATGATACTGATTATAGAAGGGGGTGGCTTCCTACAGCGGTTTATTTTTGTAGTCAACCGGCCAATGCGTCATGTGATGTACCAAACTGGGTGACACGTGCATGTACAGTATTTTGTGCTTTACTCGCTTGAGAGGTTTTACTGCCGAGCAATGTGGTCTGGCAACGACGCTTATACTACACTACGAAACCACCACGCGAGAAGCGCAAAAGTGAACTTAGTAGTTGAAACACAGTGATATATGAACTCGCACCGATTTCATGGTGTAAACGAATTCAGGGTTCTCGAAACGAAACGGACAAAGAAACGAACCAATATAAAGGCACCGAAAATTGGTCACTGTGGGTCGGTTGGTCACAAATGCATTTGACAAACAAACTGAACACACTACATTATACTTGAATCTGTTGTTGCGACTTGCACGTTAGTGGCTGATGCCACCATCACTCACTCAAGGATAGGGTCAAACCCATAATACTGAATAGAAAGCTCACACAACGATGACACGAATGCTCTACAAAACTGAAAGAAAAGCATAAATACATACCTTGGATCAATCAAGGTGGGTACATTAGTCGCCGCTACCACCACCACGCCTCTGGTGCCACTGAGACTGTCCATTTCCATCAGCAATTGGGTGACCAGGTTGCGGTCAGTGCTCTCTTGCGACCTCTGGCCGAATATGGCCTGGATCTGTATGGAACGTAGAACAATATAAAGCTCGGTTCAGCTTACAATGTAGAGTAATTTCATATAATGATGAATTGCAACAACGAGTATTGATTTATATCTAAAGTCTCATTCAACCCAGTAAAGAATGTCGTTGCAAGTAGCACGAATATATAATCCTGGCAGCGGAGCTTTGCGAAAATACAGATTGCGATGTATATTCTTGCCTCCAGTGTGACCCTCGCCCAGCATAAACAGCACCGGCTAAAATTATTTATATGCCGTTATATGGGCATAATCAGGTATATACCCACCTTCCTCCACCACGCATGATAAACCAAAAAATGACTTTGGACAAATGAAAAAGTCATATTTACACACTACAACATATCACCATCATATATATATGTATATAGGTATGAGAGTG